TTTTAGGTGAAAATTAAATATGATAAGAAAAGACAACAATGCCTTAAGAATTATACTGAAGACAAACAAATCACTGTGTCATTGAAGGAAATGACATATAATCTCTGTTTTGTAAGGTGAGATGTGCACTTTTAAAGCTGAAATACCTGAGACGAACTGAAATAAATGGCAGACATAATGGGTGGTGACCATGCATTGAATTTGTATGATATTTTCCATTATAACTCATTCTTGTTTGATTTCTGAGTTACTCCAGCTTTTCCGGTGATGGTCACAAGCCTTTGGGGTGTTTTTACTATGTCACATGAAATTCCTTTCCATCCAAGCTATGTCACTATCCTCTCTGTCTAATGTATTACTGAGAAAAGAATGATACGCAAACAGTAGGCCCAGATGTGTGGAATGGTCAGGCTCCACATCAGACCTTTTATAGCACAGCTGTCATGGCTGATAAATTTTGCTGCATTGACAGAGCAGACAGAACGGGCATCTGAGGTCTGCAAGCTGACCCATCTCTTCTTCATAGTGAAGAATCATATGCGGAACTGAGTTTGGAGTAAGGAGGCAGGAGAATGCAGAACCAGAGCACTGCCCTCACCACAGCCCTGCACGTGGCACTTCACCAGCACTGCCTGCTGTTGTGTCTGGACGAGAATATCTGGGGCACATCTTCTCTTATGCCTGCAGACTCAAGAGTCCCATGTTGCCTTTCTTGTGAGTCCAGTGCACAGTGTGAACATATTCTTCCCTCTAAAATAACAGTCCTTCTGCTTCTGGTTAAAATAGCACGGCACACATGTCACTGCAGCTGTACAGAATAGCTGTGCATTTGTATTCCTGAGAAAATAGAAACTAGAAAATGGCATAAATCTTCTTCTCCCCTGCAGAAAACTAAAATAATCCTAGAGCAATAACTGTGAAGAATGGCATTAAAAGAAAGTTCTCATAGGTCAAGTTCACATTCAAGCTGCTGCTTGAAGTTAGTTATCATGCATCAACTGAGCTGACTGCTAAGCTGCATTCTTAACTCAATAGAGGGTAATGGCATTTAACATAGCCTGTGACAAGACAGTAGAGCTGTCACATTGCCAAGCATTTGCCATAGTGGCAGAACAAAAGACTCTGGTTTAGCTGACATCATAACTTTTAAGTGTTGGAAGTTTCAAATCATTAGTTTTCATTAATATGCACTTCAAAGAGAGTGTCAACATTTTGCTTCCTATGCACACCTGCATACATTATATTTCTTAATTGTATAATTACATATTACTTTTCAGGCTCAGGCTCTCCTCTGTTTCAGTGCACAGGGCAGATCTGTAGTGAAGAATGAAGACTACAGGCAGAGGAAAGGTTCCCGCTTCACAGCTGAGTAGCTCTGCTGGCTTAGAAAGGTGCAAGATACACACTGGTTGCTCTTCCTGGCAGCTCTGGGGTAATTTACGCTCTTAAAAGAGTGCAAGGAATGTTACTTGTGGGTGGCCCACTATCTACAGGCCTAAGCCTTAGTGGTGATGTGGTGACAAAATACAACAAGTTGCTTTTACTTGTCAGCATGCTAGAAGGAGATAGAGAAATATTGCAAGCAAACACTGTAGTCTCAAAATAAATTCTTCCATTCCCAATGCAATAAAACTAATATTAGGTATTCATTTCTTAGACTCCGCTTCCCAGTTTGTTACTACATTAGAGGGTTTTTATTTGTCTTATTTCCAACACAAAACCTATCATTAACCACTAGTATTGGTGTGTCAGTAATACGCTAGGGGGAGAATATTTGTAAAGTTAGTAGATATATTTCAAACCACAAATATTCCAATAGAAAGAAAGATAATTATTACTCTGATGCAATACATAAAGTATATGCGTATATATTATTGGCTGAGTTTCATTATGATCTTGTTTTTTGCTTCACAGTTTTGAGAAACAGTTTCTCTTGAGAGGCCAATTTTCATGGAGAGATGAAAAAAAGATTTCTTGGTTATGATATTGACTGTCAGTGTACAGTAAATTACTTAACTCTTTTATAAATAGAAAAGCTTTTGAAAAAGTACAACATTCTTTCTGTTTAATTAAGAGTGGTTGCTATGGATAGTCCTTTTCTATCTTTTGTTCTTCTCCATGAACAACATTAGTTAAAAATAGGACACTTCAGATGCTGAAACTCTTGAGTCTTTCTTAAAGTCCCATATTTTATCTACTTTCTGTCTTTTTCTCAGCAACAGAAAATAAGGATTTAGACCTGAACACAATTTGAAAAAGAATTACTACAGATTTTTCAAAGGAGACTTTAGATTATAGGCCCCCATATCTTATTCTGTTTTAATTTCACCCTGCTCTTTTAGAGTCATAGCTTTAGGTGACAATCCTTTTAGTCAACAGCAGTTACATAAGTTTTATCGTTGTTCCGATTCAGTGAAAGATTTCACATTTAATAGTTTTCTAGAGTAAGATAAAGTTTTCATGAAGGATTGTTTTTTCTTATCACACAGATATACTGGCAATGCTTACACAAAGTAAAACAAGCTACTAGTTATTCACAGAAATTTTCTTAGCCAGATTAATTTAAGCTGCTTTAACTCCATCCAGCTGGAGTTCTTCCATGACCCATAGTAGAAACGTGTTTTTGTGTGTGTACATAGATTCAGAAACAGCCTTGAGCAATGTTCTTTCTGAAAGTATGAGTTATGCTTAAAAATATATTTTGCTCCCATTTGGATATGTTGTTACTTTGATTTTGTGCTTGTCTGAGAATTTGAAAGGCACTCAAAGAAAATACAGTATAAAATATTTACTAGCTTAATTTTCCGATTGCTTCTTTATGTACAACTAGCAAACTTTTTTCAGTGGTAAATGTCACTGTTCTAATTAAAAAAAAAAAAAAAGCAAACAGAATATTTTTACAATTATCTCAATTATGGAAAGGACTCTGGACTTTTCCAGCTTTGGAGTAGCACAAGAAATACACATCAGATTCAGTAGATCAGGAGGTTGTCTCAGAGTGCTTGTTTTATTTTCCTCCGCTGAATCAGAACATAAGCAACTCCACAACAATATCTAAGCGCATATCAATTTCCCTTAGTAAATATGTTGTATTAACATTAAGGTGGCATGTTGTTATGTCACAAGAGTTTGAAAAACACCCTACCTACCCAGAAAATTCTTTTAAAATGTGTGTTTATAACTCATTGCTATGTTTTGAATAAAAAAAAAGAGAGAATGCAAATAACCAGAGGGAAGTAGAAATCAATAGGATCTAAAAAGAAAGAAGAATGAGAATTTCTCAACAACCAACTAACTACTGCTACTGTATTTTTTTTTCTGAAGCAAAGAAAGAAGACGAAACATTAATACGAGGAGAAAAAATAAGGGTTGATCTCATTTTATACCTGACTTAAAAGTTTAAAGGAAGTACTTAAAGAGAATTTAACTGTGACCAGGTGAAATATCCCATTAATGTACTATTAAATGAGACAAGCCATGCGATTAGAATTAACAGAAACTTAAATAATGTGTTGAATTAAAATTTAAGTCTTAAATATACAGCAATTTATTTAATAACCACATTCAAAAGCAGAAAGTTTTGTTTGAAGACAACCTGGAGGAAAATTAGAAGACGCATTTCCTAATAGAAACCAGGCACAGTTATATGGATGCCGGAAGCATAGTTCTACTTTCTAATTAAGGCCCATAATTACTCAAACTGTTCTGCACAGTCGTTTTCCTTTCCTTCCTATAGCGCTGGGAAGTCACAGGGGGATCTGCTCACATCCGTCAGCTTGCTGCATTTGAGTCTAAAATATGGCATGGTCTACAAAAAAAGACAATTCTTTCTGCTTTCTATTTAGCAGCACAATTGGAGACAGTAGATTTTTGTTCTTTTCCAATCCCACTTCTAGTTTAAGACTATATTGCTAAAATCAGCAGTTCCTGCTAGGGAGTAATGCCAGGAGGTGTAAAAATAAGTATTAGGTAGCTACTGCAGGAATAGAATAGCTGGTTTTTCTGGGAAGATTAAGATTGCAGCAAAGCTACAATACAAAAGGGCCCCTTTTGATAAAGGGGTTAACAGAAATTACAGGAGGAACTGCTCACTCAGTAAAGTGAATGGCAGAAAGGACCTCGAAGCTGTTGGTCACCTGTAGCAGACCCAGCTAATCACAAGGGCTGCAGCAAGGGGTAAATCTTCAACCCTCTTCTCTTCACATTTTACTCAGAGCTTGTTGGTGAGCACTTGGTTGTTACTGAAAGTTGTAATTTAGAAGCCTCTTTTGCAGGTGACTGCTTCCAGAACAGTGTCACTTTTACTTTTTCTGTCTGATTTGCATTTGAGTCTTCTCAGGAAGGGGTTTAAAGGTAGGAGGTGACCCCATGTTTGTAATTTTCCCCTCTGGTTTTCTGTGGTTGTATCATTGGTGCTATTTTGACTCCCTTGAGGAATTAGGAGGGAAAGAGCCCTTTTTTTTTTTTTTAGGTTGGACTTAAATGTAAACTAAGCCTTGAACTGTTTATCAGTAAGCATGCAGTACTCAAACTGGATGAATTCAAAGGCATACCTGCAGCTAAGCAGGGAGACAATGAAAAAATTGTTGTCTGTAAGTGTCCCAAGATCTAGAGAGTAGTTGTATGAGGGCTTCTCAGTTTGCTTTGGACTTGAACTGCCAGCAGTAGTTGAACTCTCAGGTTAGATGCTGATGGCTTTCTGTCATTTCTAGAATATTCTCTTGTTAGTTTTGTCATTTCAGTTTTGCTAGATAGGATGTTCCTGATGCAACTTGCTATGACAGGCTTAGCTCGTTGTAAGTCACCACTGCAACCTCAGAATGGCTTTGGAAGTGGTGTAGGTGCGCAGTTGGTGACCTGAGTTTGTTGCAGGTGTGCAACCTGAGTTACCTGGCAGTTCTTAGCAAGGGAACATCTCCAGAGACAGATCAGAAGATGATCAGGGCTACACTTGTGTGAGTACCTGGAGGGATTGTTGACAGGACTCTGTGATGGTATGTTCCTGGCACTGTGAAGTGCCTCTGGTGTTCTGTGTTGACAGGTTTTTATGGGGTGGTAACAAAGGAGGTAGGGGTGGTGATGAGGGAGAAAGCAGTGGGATGGGAGGTGCTACAGCAGAGAACTAATCCTTTAAAGAGACTCCAGATGTATGAGTTCTTGCTTATACGTAGAAGATGAGCTTATACATAGAAGACAAGAATCTTTCAGAACAAGAAAATATTCAAGGCATGTGGTGGCCTTATTTTTTGTCATCACTTATGAACTAGGCATAAACCCTTTATTAACAACCATCTGGAGTTTGTGGTACTGAGTAACAAGATCTTTTTTTTATGTACCCCAGCCAAGAGAACTATAATTGCATATGCTTCAGAGTGGAAATAGAACTCGTGTATATAACATATAAATGCTGACATCATACTGGGATAGCTGCATGCATGGACAGTGTTGTAATTGTCTGGAAAGCAGCTGGTTTGGTGATTCTCACTTATGGGAGCATCTCCAGGAGTGAGAGCCTCTTGTCTGGAAGGAATGTTGGTGGTGCATATTGATTCGTACGCAGACAGTATCCAACATTCTTTTTTTGATGAAAATAGTAATTAATGTAAGTCCTACTCTAACCTATTTCATATATCATTTAATACAATCATACCCACCATATCCCTGAGACAAATCTAGTGAGTTCTATTTCCATGGCTGACAATTTCTGGGCCAGTGTGGATATGAAAAGCTTTAGAAAATGTCTACTTTACTTTTGACTCTTAAATATCTTCCTCCCTCAGAAATTGTAGATAATCTTGTTGTGGTTTCCATTTTGATTCAGCCTCCTTTCAAACCCAACCTTCTCTCTCAGGAAACTCTGAAGACAGGGGCTGTTGGTTGTTGGTTTATTTGGGTTTTTATTAATGTGATATAATGAATGCTAATCAAACTGACACATAAAGTTACAGGACAGGAACAATTCAGACTTATAGATCAAGGATAATAGTTAATTTGTTTTTATCTTACTGACTTCTAGGGATATTTTTTAATTCATGTCATTGACTGGAGGTTTCTCTAAATGAACAGTTACATTACATTGTTGTCTTCCTTTATTAGTGAAAATTTGTATATTAAAGTGAAGATCTTTTGGAGTAATATCTCTAATTAAAGTTGTAAATATACAAAAAGATTCAGCCCCAATTAATTTGTTTGGTCCTCCCATTTAGCACAGCATCCCATATAGATTCTGAGAAAAAAACCCACCAATGTAGGTTGCTTCCATTCCACCTATTGTTCCTGAAATGGCAGCTCACAAGAATTAACACTGGCATGCTAAAATAATAGATGAACAGATTTTGCTGGAGTAGTGGGGTTGGTGTTTTTGAAGTCATGAAAGAGAATTACTCTCAGCTAGGTTTTGTCAGTGTTTCTCTTTGACAGGTCAATAAAGTAGCAACAGTGGCATGTCTAACTTTCGTCAGATAACTTAAGCAGTGAGATACATGGTGAATGCCTTGCTCCCAGAATACCAGAAATAACAATCTGCCTTTGTATCAGAGAGACAAGATAGGTGACCTGCTCCAGATGGACAGTTTCTGTTTTCTGTACCAGAAACAGATACAACGTGGAGGCTTATCTGAAGGGTCCTCTATTTGCTAGCTAGCTATCTTAGCAAGAATTCAGTGAGTCTTCACCTAGGAATATGGAGTGGCAAAGTAATGCATTTTAAGGGAAGATGCCAAAAGGAATGGAGAGAAGAATGATGGGATAATTCAACCAAAGAGAGAAGGTAGCTGAACATGTTAACTAACATGCTCAAAAAAAAAGAGGGACTTGGTTAAATTCTCTCTAAGGTTTGATAAGCAGAGGAAATCTCATACTTAACTCAGTTTAACTTTTCAGAATTGACAATTAGTTTTTAGCACACATTTTTGATTTCTTACTCCTAGAATACTTTGAATCAATTTTATGAAAGCATTGGCATATTATCTTTCCCTGCAGTGCTAGAAAAGCAACGCAAAGTTGACAGTAACAGGGCAAATTGAGAAATCAAGGAGGCAGACAGCTCATATTAATGAGGATAAGGTTCACCCTGGGTGGGAAGAGTATGAGAGGAGAACTACAAACATTAGCATCATCAGGAAATAGCTGGTAGTCAAAATTCAGGAGCAGGGTTTGTACAGTGATACTTTACTGCTTCAGTAGCATTCATTAACTGTCAATAATGGGCAGCTCATTAAAACTAGGTATGATGATATGTATATGGACAACCAGAATCATCTTATAGACAGTAGAATGCAAACAGATACTGGGTGTTTTTTGTAATGTTCTCTCCAGGTTGGTTATGTGAATTGTCATTTTTCTGTCCAAGACTATTTTTGACACCTAAATTGACACCTTTTATAACTTTCTACCCTTTAATTTCCAGTCTTTAATGCAGCAACAGGAGGAAAATATTAGATTTCACCATCAAAGCAAAACTAGAAGTATTCCAGTTGTCTTTTAAATTTGGAAACTAATATATAAAGAAACATAGAAGGTAAGTAGAAGTGTCTAAAGTTTCTTTCTATTTTTTCAAACGCTGATTCTATGTTCAGACTAGAAAACTGGGTCTTCTGTCCCCTTCAAAAACAATGAAATACTGGTTTTATGTGCTATCAATCTCTGAATTTGCATGTGACACACTTGATGGAAAGAGTAATGTGCAATTAACTAGTAAATTGATTTTATTAAAAAAAATACATTTTGCTGCCATGGTAAGCAGCTGAAGACAACATTATTCTGTGTTGATACCTGCACCACACCTTCCCCACTCACTAGTGAGTACTTTGTAGACAGATGTAGCAAGAAAAATTAGGAATGCTAAAAATAATAGCTATTTAAATCAGTTTTGAAGCCCTAACTAATGGGACAAGTTCTTGAAGAATAAACCTGTGAAGTCACTGTAGCATTCTGTGTGAAGGTAGGATAGTCCATAAGCCTTGTTTTGAACTCTGTCTGGGGCTACAGAATCCCATCTGGCTCCAGCTTACTTGGAAGTGCCCCCTGTCTGTGCCGCTTACAGTTGAGACAATCAAGAATCTGCTCCCTGGGAATATAATTGTACTGAAGTGTGTTTATGTGCTGTGCAGATTAATCTTTCATGATGGTTGCTGAAGCACAGGACAAAGTGCTTGCTTCATTGATTTGACACAGGACATACTATTCTCATCACTGTATGACATGTTCTATAAAATAAAGGATGGATGATTGGTCCTGGCAGGAGAGATATTCATGAAGTGCTTTTCTTCCAGTCTCCTGCCTCATCCCTGCTTTTGAACTGAGTCTTCTCAGTGGCAACTGCATCACAGCAGCTTCTGCTAATGCAAGATTAAAGACAGAAAGCCTCCTTTATGCTGTATAAGTGAGTCCTATATTCTATTTGTACACCATCATTCAGTATGTCCAGAATAGTGTCTCAAGTTCAAGTTGAATTTGGGGAAGTATATTCACCACAGTGCTTCAAATGTTACTTTTGTCAAATCTGTTTCTTAAAATTTGCTCTTTCCCAGATGTCCATTGCAACAATACTTTTCTGCATCCTATATAGTAATTTTCACCAGTGTAAAACTACTGATTTTGGCAGAATTGGTAAATAATAGAGGAGAAAAATATTCTTGTGAGGGAAAATTTAGCAAAAAAGACATTTTCTCTAAGTTAACTGGCAAAAGTCAGCGGGAGTTTGTGCCTTTTGAAAATCTACATACAAGCTTCATTATAAGTCTATTTTTGGAAATTCTTACTGAAAAAGCTTGCATGATTTTGTAGACATGGAACTGAGAAATACAAGATCTAAGCAAATACAACAGGCTGCAAAGTAGTCACAGAGGCTGACCTTAGCTTAATGCACTAATCTTGTGTGTATTCAATAGGAAAGGAGTCAGAAAGAGAAGCTCTATGTTGAGGGTGGCAGGGAAAAACTTATGTTTGTGCTGGGGTTTTATTTGTTGGTTTTTTTATAATTGCATCTAGACTAAAACAAAACCCATGAAACCCCAACACAACAAAAGCCAACACCAAACCAAACCAAACCAAACCAACAAAAAAACCCACAACAAAACAAACCCCGACCAGCCTTCTCTGTGGACTGTAGGAGAGTCAGAATATCTCTGAGAGTTTTTGCTGTATTGCTTTATTACCAGACCAAATGAGTGTGAAAGTATTTGTGATATTGATAGTAAATTCCCTTTCACAGGCATGATTGACCTTAGGAGTTGAACTTCAATGATCCTTGTGTGTGCCTTCCAACTCAGGACATTCTATGATTGAATATACGTTAGTGTGAAGAGTGATTCTGGGGAAGATTGATCTCTGCAATGTTACCCACTTGTTATCCTTGAGTCTCCTTACTAAAAAAAAAATTGAATTACTCAATACTTTTCTGTTGACAGATGTTTAAAATGGATTTTCTAAGTGTCTTACTGAGATTTCTTACTGTACATGACTGATTTGAGATTTAGTATTTCCAATGGCATAGCCAACAAGGAAGTAAAAAATGGCTTTGTGCATAAACTGAAAAATTGTTTTTTTTCTTCAAAGTGCTAAGTGTCTCTGTATCAAAATTAAATATTGCTTCAGCTACAGTAAAATTGTGTAATGAAGCACAACTGATTATGCTGTAGTTTTCCTAATATTAACATTATTATTATTCAAATACAAATGCTTATGTATTTTGTGGGGTATGTAGTAATGAAACTAATTTACTTTCTCTTCTGAGTGCTGTGTCTTTTAATTCAACATTTGCTATTAGATCATACTTTCAGATACCTGAGAGAGCAGTGCCTGCTTTAGAGTAATAGATTTTTAAGGTCAGAAAGTGACCATAGACTATTAACCAGCAGCTCCTGCATTCAAGCACAGCAGCTCAAAGAGGGGGTTTTTCAATAGCTAGTTCTTACAAATCCTGTCTAATAGAGAATTGAATAACTTCCTAACCCTTTTCATACTAATTGCCTATGTGGCCCCTTTTTCTAGTTTTCTTTCCCCAGTGTGTGTGTCTCTATTCACCTAGACAGAGTTGTGAACCCGAACAATTCTCAGCTGTGAGGTTAGTCTCTCATCTTTTCTTCTTAACTATTAGCTTCCCTAATACTTGCATCTGGAAGGCAAAGAAGGCTTCGATGGAGTATGTTTGTCAGTATTTGGAAACCTAAGACATGACATCTAAACAGCCAAACGTGTAATAACGCCTGCCTTAATAGTAAGACCTGAAAAACGTGTCCATTCTGAACCATTTTCAATTTGGCAATATGAAGTCAATGCTAATGTAGAGTTGCGAGATTAATCCTTATAACAGTCAAAAAACAGACAAGAACAGATAGGAAGGAACACTTACCAATGGTGAGAGTCTGAGAAACAGCCAAAGAACAATTAATTTCCCCTGAAGTTGAAAGCAAATGCTGGAGATACTTGGAGGCATAGATCCCCAAGTGTATATTGAATTTCAGTACGTGAATTGCTGACATCTATAGCAGTCAGTTGGGAATCAGTGGATATAAAAAGAAAAGGATTTTCAATAGAATTTCTGTTGATTATGCTGATTAATCCAATGATTAGATTATCCCAACTTGGTAGGTAAGCTAAAAATAATTGGTAAATTCCAGTAAAAACTGCAGCAAGTTGCAAAAATATTTTTCTGTTGTATAGGCTTTAAAAGGGTAAAAATGATAAGCTAGGTGGGAAGTCTTTGCCTTTATTATAATATCTCTAAAGTAGTTAGAAATATAAAATGGTAAATTTAGCCATTAGCTGTAGTTATGTTATCAAGAGACTTTATATTTTATGAATATTTAAAGACATGTTGTAAGGTATATAATGCAGGACTTCTGTATCATAGTTGTGATGCAGATAAAGTTCTTGCTGAGAGCTTCCAATCCAAGAAGTTTGCTTTATGAAACATTAGTACACAAAAATGTCTGCAGTAGTATAGCTTGCTGGAGAAATTAAATAGTCTGAATGATTGGTGTCATTCTTGAAACAGCATAATGCTATTCTTGTTACGCAAACAGTGGAAGGAACAAGTAAAAATCAGTTTATGTTGAAGAAAAGGAAAGAGTGAGAAGTAGTTCCTTGGTGCAGTGACTACTAAAAGCTGCCTTCTCCAACTTCCTCTGCTCCTGAACTCTGCACGTAAAGCTCAATCATCAAAAGGAAGGCATTCTTCAAAGCTAAGGCACAATAAAAGAAAAATTCATGGTGGTCTCAGATATGTTTACGGTTCCAGAATGTCCAAAGTTACTCGGGCTTTGTTTTTATCACGGTTGATCTTAATGGTTCCACAGAAATAAACTTTAACACAAAATTGAGGCACTCAATTGGTAACTCACCCAGCTAACAAATATCTATCTTTAGCTATTTCCAGCTGGGCTTACAGCTTTCTGATGATAAGTGGCCTATTTCAATAGGAAACAATGCAGTCCACTTGGTGTGTTTGGGTTTGGTTTGTTTTTTTTTTTATCTTTAATAAAGGCTGTGTCCCTGGCATATACATGAAAAGAATAAAGTCCAGGGACATATTTCTTCTCTAGAATAAACTGTAGAAAATACAATGCTGTATTTCAATGAAAGAAAATGTGAGAATAAGCTTTACTCACATCTCTCTTCCAATGGAATTACAGCAGAGAAGGGGGGAGGAAATCCATAACAGGGAACAACTTTTTTTTTTTTTTTTTAAGAAGAGTTTATTGAGTACATTCTTAAAGCTTTTTAGAGAATCTACTCTAAAGGCTGTCAGTATAGGATAAGTCGTTAAAACTGATCACTTCCATCCCTTTTGGTTTAAATGGAAGGCAACTATAAGTGTGGTAGGGAAGATCTATGACTATTATAGCAGAGAGTGGATGAGCAGATGCAATTTATATAGGACAGGCAGAATCTTTTGCAGGTTTGTAGCCCTGCTAATGCAAATATGTCTTCTGGGGGTCTGACTGCAGAGAAGCACATGCAGGACAAGTTGGTTTAGTGAACAAAGCAATAAAGGTGTCAATAACTGAACAGAAGATGTAATAATATCTTACAATAGCTACAGAACAATACTGAACAAGACCTTATTGGCTACTAGAAACCCAATATTAGTAGAGACTTTTTGGCTGAGAGCTTGTGCCAATGTACAATAATTCATACACCTTGTTTGTATTTATCTTTAAGAAGTCAACTATAATCACTTTAATCATAAGCAGTGAAAGCATAAAACAATTTATTAGTGAATCTTCATCTGATTAACTGCTATCACCTTTGTCCAATGTATTATACTATGTATAGATCCTGTGTTCTAGGATCATTATGAGCTGTTAAGTCTTTGCTCTTAATAACAGTAGGTGTCAAAGAGATAATATGTGTTAAAATGAGGCAATATGCTTCTGGTTTTTTCTTCACTGTGCATTTTTCAACACTCCTTTGAATTTGTGTAGGGCATCTACTGACAGTAAGATACAATCTTTACAAGTTATCACTTATATGTACACAGTTCTATAAATCCATTATCTTGGATTATGCAGTGGGAAAGATATTAGATGTAAACATCTTGAGTCGATGAAAATGTAGTTTGTACCATCCAGAACTGTATTCATTCTTTTTTTCTTCACATTCAGTTCATAGGCTCATAGAACGATTTGGGTTGGAAGGGGCCTTAAAGATTATCTAGTTTCAATCCCTTTGCCATGGGCAGGAACACCTTCCACTAGAGCAAGTTGCTCAAAATCCCATCTAACCTGTCCCTGAATGCTTTCATGTATGGGGCGTCCACAGCTTCTCTGGGCATCATGTTAAAGTGTCTCACCCCCCTCACAGTAAAAAATTTCTTCCTAATATGTGATCCAAATCTACCCTCTCTTTGTTTTAAGCCATTCCCGCTTATGCTATCGCTAGATGCCCTTGTGAAAAGTCCTTCTCCAGCTTTCTTGTAGACTCTCTTTAGGTACCGTAAGGTTGTTATAAGGTTTCCCCCGAGCCTTCTCTTCTTCAGGCTGAACAACCCCAAAATTGAGGTGAAATTTCATTAAAAAAAAAAATTATGTATTTTATAGAACCATACAATTTGAAAGTTTGTTTTAAAAATCAAACCTGACATGACTCATCTCTGAATTTGAGGTCTTAGTAAACCTGAGGGATTTTTTAAGAGCCCAGATCATCTTGACTTATGGATCCAAACAAATATGGCTTTTCTCATTCTTGGTTGATTTTTTTTTTTAGAAATCAAGGTAAATTTTTTAGTGTGCATTTTTGTTTGTTTTGCATTCAGCTGAAAACAGAGAGCAGTCCTTTTCCTCTTGTCATTGGAAAAATTTTCTCTCAGTCTTGACCTGAATTTCTAGGTTCTTCAAAGCCAAATGTAAGAGACATAAAATGAAAGGCATATGGAAGTAGAGGAAAATATGAAGTTCAAAAAACAGAATGTAGGATAGCTTAGGGCTGTAAAGTGTCAAGTCCCCCTTAGTCCTTTTTAAAATATTTTGTTTCTTTGTTTGTTTTGTTGTGGTTTGCTTTTTTTAAGAGCTCTGGACACTTCTTCCCCAAAAAGGTAAATTTTGATATGATTTCAAACACCTAGTCCTTGGAGGCAATACATACTTATTGAAGAATTTGTTAAATAATTTGCTTTCTGAAAATACAAAGATGTATATGGATACTATTTTACGGTTTATTCAATCTTTACACTATACAATACTTCCATCCATTTTGGAAAACTGAGATATGTAATATGAGAATGTGTTTTGTTGTATGCTGTAGATTTTTCTTGTATAAGTGATGAAATGGAGAAAAGTCTATTCTGGAAACCAGTTCAAGAAGCTTCTTCAGCACGTACAATTTTCTGTGAACGACGAAAGAAAGAGTGATTTCATAAACTACTATCACATTGACTATAAATCAACTTCTCCAGGTACTTCATCCCATGTCCCTGTTTGCACAAACTCATGAACTTTCTTCATTGATTGAAATTACTCATGCTTTCAAATGCAATACCAACCTTGGACCTTGTTTGAGGTTCATTTTACTTTTACTAAAAGATTCATCTCTGTTAGCTTCTGTTGACATCCAGTGTGGTAGAGACTGTCCTGGATTTTAAGGGATGAGCCTTTAATAAGCAAAGGAGCACTAGAACTGTCAATATAGTCACACAGTAGTCTTCACTCAAATTGGAGAAGGACTCTTCAGTCAGCTATTTTCAACAAGGATTGAGGCATATTTGTCAAGCAAAAATGAAATGACGATTTTTCACACAGGATTTCTGAGCTCTTACCTGACATTGGTATAAGGAGTAAGTCATACATTCTAACTGAAAAGTAATTTAGCATCTTTCCCTGGAGTAAAAGGGTGTTAACTACATTCACCAGTAAGCCTGCAAAAGGCACTACTTAATAATAAGAAATCGATTTTGAAGAAATGCAAAATCTCTTTTACAATGACTCTAAAATACTTATTGACAGAATTGGAAGAAGTCAGCTTCATAAGCAGAAGACAAACACAATGCCAAGATCACTTACTTGTTAATAAAACACTTGTTCAGAATGAGAATCAAGTTCTTAAAGGCTTTGTTATGGCTGAACAAGGTGTATATCACCTCTAGTTTCTGATATGCATGCCTCATTAACACTTTGGTGTAGCATCAGATCTGGACTAGTTACAGGAATTCATTTCACCCAACACAAACCAACTAAATGTGTTGTCTTGTCTCTCCTCATTGATAGATCAGCCTGTCCAGGTCACCACAATCGTATTATTTCTGCAATAATGAAAGAATTAAGGAAAACTATTTGGGTATTTTGACCAAATTAGGCACCTCACATAAAATGTTAGGTGATGTGAATAATCTTATTAGTGGTTCATCATTAACATAATAAGTATATGCCATTCCTTGCACTGTAGGAATTTTTGCAGTATGATAAAATAGAGCCAGCTACTGGGTTTGAGCCCAGTGCTAATTGATACCTGTGAATCATAAGTAAATAATATAGCTAATTTCTTTGGTCAGGAGAGTGCTCATTCAGCGTAACATCTAGACTGTAAGGAGATCAGAAAAAAGTGTTCTGAAAAATGAGAGAACAAGATACAAATTCATTAAACTGTCTCAAAAATTCAACATTTAATTTGCCCTAATATAGAAATAGCATTTCAATTCATTGCTTCTAAATATTTCATATGCTTCTAATAATCTAATCCACAAATACATACTGTGCAGTGCCAGCTCTCTCACCCAAACACATTTACAGAGACATGTGCTTTTTCTTTTTATTTTCTTCCTTCCTATTTTCACAGCATATGCTGTTACCTTCTTTTCCTGAAGCAAAACTGCTTATAGCTGTTCTAGGGACATTTCTGCAAACTTTCATTTCAGTTAAAACATATTTATTTTTTTAAACTGTAGTATATTCATCGTTTCCATTCATATGATGCCCTCTGTGTCCAGTTAGCTTTGTGTTGTAGTGGTCTCCACAGACTCTGCTAGAAAAAGAAGGATTTGGCCTCATTCTGATCTGTCCCAAAGATCACGAAAATCACAGGGAAAAACTTCCAGTAACATGAATTGGCTTTGGATCAGTCCCTATGACAGAAGATTATTTTTTTATGTCATTTGGTTTTTTTTCTGATCAGTAAAATGCTCTGATCTCCACTTCCTCTACTTTTTGAGATCTCAGAATGTGAAAATTATATAAACATTTGAAGACTTTATTCTTCTTTATGTAACATTTCTTGCAGAATTCTTTTTTGCTGTCATTAACTGAGACATTTGGTAATGTTAATTTCGAATATTGGGGGCTTTTAAGAGGTCCTTAATGGTTAAATTTGAAAGCCAATGTTTATTGATTAGCATCAAATATGTGCCTCCTGGCATTCTGTCAAACTTCACCTGCCAAAACTCATGTGAAGTTTCTAGTTTTGGAATTCAGCAGCCACCTTAGTACTGCTCTAATGAGGAAAAATATAATCATTAAGGTGGCTATTGTTTTCAATATTTAAACTTATTCTTGAAGGGATTATTGTTGCAATATTATTCTTGCTGACAGAACCCACTGCTTAGCTGGTTAATTGGTTCCTCACTTTCATTTTTATTGATACAAATTGCTTTAAAAATTCAAACAAGAGGCTGGTTGCAAATCTTCTATTAATGCTGTTTAAGTCTGCATGCAATGGAGATACTGCATTATTTAAAATTTTGTGTTTGACTTTCTATTTTCAGACTTGTGTCCTAAGTGGTTTGCCAAAACAGTGGAAATTTTAGAGAATACAGACAATTTACAGAAAAAAATCTCTACCTTGGAAGATATATTTGTGATTTACTTCCTTTCAGCACACATGTCCATGTATTATGCACGACTGGATGTAGCTGAAACTTTCTGATTTGCTGAATATATTCCCAGGTGAATAATTTTTTAATATTTAATTTTAGATATAATATATATTTATATATATTATAAATATATATATAATTTTTTTTCTATTGAATAATATACATGCAATATGTCCAAAGAAAAATATACTAGGTTTATTCAAATTATATTGTAACTTAATGTACCATAACTATAATGTGACTTACTGTCATTATAATACTACTTTGCTGGCGTATCACTGGTACTTCAAGTCTAACTTATTTAAAGACAGTCTTCTAATATAAACATCTGATGTTTGTTTAAATTTCCATTTCAAAGAAAGCAAAAGATACAGTTGTCTTCTAGAAACCTAAATGGGGAATAAAACACATGTAGAGAATGTCCTGTAAAAAATTCTCTTTTTATCATGAAGAAAAAAGGTTTTGCTCTCTTAATAAGGAAATAGAAACTTGACTTTCTTCACAGAAGTCTACAACAGTGCAGGAAAGCCCTACATAGCCCATCAGCAGGCCTGACCAGATTCATTGTGATTGAATTGAGATTAAAATATATTATCTTGAAAAATTCCATGGACCTGCATTTGTTTTACAAATGTTAATATTTGTCTACTTTAGAAGTGGACTGGTATTAATTTGCAGATGCAGTTACAGTATTAAAGTTATTGTGTGGGCAATTCCATCTGGAAGTGCTTCTGGCATCTTACCAAATTAGCTTAATTTAAGATCTGCTGATTTAAGAATAAGAATGTTGATATAGATATGGAAAATTGTGCTAATACATTTAGGGTGGAGAGAAACTTAAGGAGGTTCGACAAGGGCAAGTGTAGGATCCTGCCCCTGGGGGGGAGTAATCCCAAGTACCAGTACAGGTTGGGGGCTGACCTACTAAAGAGCAGCTTTGCAGAGAAGGACCTGGGAGTCTTGGAGGATGAAGAGATGACCATGAGCTGGTAGTGTGCCCTTATGACCAGGAGGGCCAATGGTGTTCTGGAGTGCATCTGGAAGAGTGTGGCCAGCAGGTCATGGGAGGTGATCCTCCCCCTCTACTCGGACCTAGTGAGGCCACATCTGGAGTGCTGTGTTCACTTCTGGTCTCCACAGTTTAAGAAAGACAAGGAGTTACTGGAGAGAGTCCAGTAGAGGGCCACAAAGATAATTAGGGGCTTGGAGCATCTCTTTTAGGAGAAGAGACTGAGAGAACTGAGCCTGTTTAGAGAAGAGAAGACTGGCAGGGTATCTCCTCAACACATATAATGGTTTCCAAGGCAGGTGTCAAGAAGATGGTGCCAAACTCATTCCAGTTGTACCCAGTGACAGGACAAGAAGCAGTGGCCATAAACTAAAGCACAAGAACTTCCACCTCAACGTGAGAAAGAATTCCTTTACATTGAGGGTGGCAGAGCACAGGAGCAGGCTGCTCAGGAAGGTTGTGTACTCGCCCTCTCTGGATACATACCAAACCCACCTGGATGAGTTGGTGTGTAACCTGCTGTAGGTGACCCTGTGTGTTGGTTTTGATTGGGGTAAAGTTAATTTTCTTCACAGTGGCTTGTATGGGACTATGTTTTGGATTTGTGCTGAACACAGGGTTGAGAATGTAGGGATGTTTTTGTTATTGCTGAGCAGCGCTTCCACAGAGCCAAGTCCCTCTCTGCTTTTCATACTTCCATGCTGGCAAGAGAGTTGGGGGGCTGGGAGGAGACACAGCCAGGACAAGTGACCCAAACTGGCCAAAGGGATATTCCAGATCATATGACATCATGCTCAGTATATGAAGTGGAAGGAAGATGGAAGAAGGAGGGGGGCATTTGGAGTGATGGCATTTGTCTTCCCAAGTAACTGTTACATATGGTGGGGCCCTGCTTTCCTGGAGACGGCTCAACAGCTGCCTGGCCATGAGAAGCAGTGAATTAATTCCTTGGTTTGCTTTGCTTGCGTGCACAGCTTTTGCTTTCCCTATTAAACTGTCTTTATGTCAACCCACAGTTTTTCCAACTTTTACCATTCTGATCCTCTCCCTGATCCTGCTGGAGGGGAGGTGAGTGAGCAGCTCACTTGCCACTTGTTAGGTTGTTGGCTGCGATTAAAGACTAGATGATTCTGGTGGTCCCTTCCAACCCTAACTATTCTGTAATTCTGTGATATAGTCTATACAAGCAATTATATCGATTCATAACAATAGAATTACATTATCTTCTTAAGAAAATCCTTATCTTTTTTAAGAATCCACATCTGATAAAGGCATTTTGCTTATAGATGTCAGTTCTTAAAGCCAGTTTTTCCAGTGTGCCCACCTGGGCACATTGCTGGCTCATGTTCAGCTACCTGTTGATCAACACCCCCAGCTCCTTTTCTGCTCGGCCATTTTCCAACCAATCTTGCCCCCAGTCTGTAGCTCTGCATGGGGTTGTTGTGACCCAAGGGCAAGCCTTGGCGCTTGGCCTTATTGAACCTCGTACCTCTGGCCCATCCATATCCCCCTACAGAGCCCTCTTGCCCTCCAGCAAATCAACACTCCTGCCTAGCACAATGTCATCTCCAAACTTGTGGACTCAGTCCTCTTGTCCAGATTGTTAATAAAGCTATTAAACAGGACTGAACATAGGTGGATGGGGATAGTCTGTTACTTTGGGAATAGAGAAGGATGTAGTATTTTTCTGAATCAGTCATGTGTAAGAAGATGTAGATATCCTACTTAGCCTCAGGTCACTACCAGTGCCTCCCTGCAGCAACCATTGATATGATATGATAATATAGTATACGAACCATAAGAAGACTCATTGAGACATGGATCTAACTTCTGCCTAAAGTCACAATTTGATCCCAAGGAAACTCATGTTTCTGGGCAAATATCAGGCCAGGGTTTTTATTTTCAACTGAACAAATATTGTGTGGTGATTTATGGAGGTTTTTTTATGTTGTATATCCTGAAATAGATGTATGGTTTTTGTATGAGCCTTCACACTTTCTCCCTCCTCTTTATGTATTAGCAGAAGTATACATGGTTGCCTATACTCAGTATTGAGCTTCAGAAGTTTAAAATTTTTATTCAGCCTTTGTCTCTTCAAGCTCTTAGTCACTAAAATGCAGTGACTTTGGCTTCCAGGCAGCAATTGTTTCCAGGCAGGTATTTATAGCATTGCAATGTAGTTGGTTTACCTTCAAGGTAGAATCAATGTAGGGTAGTTTTAACTCTGTTGTGCTTGTGACTCACTGAATATGGGGTTGCATTTGTTACAGCAAGACTCCCGTAATCCTGAACATTAGAATATGTAGCATCTCCCACTTTCGCTAATTTTTGTATGTTTTATTGGCACACTTGATAATGCAAGGGGCAAAATTATTTATGGCTAACAGACATTTAAAATAGGATAATACCTTGAGGTCTGTCCTGTGTTTTAAGTCAGATATTCTTATTTTGTGGGAGAAGCAAAATTATTTTATTAGGATGATTAGAGTTTTAAATCCATGCTTAGCAGTAAAGTGTATATGCCTCTACATTAGGTAGCCCCAAGTGTTTGGCATTTCTTAATTTGTAGCAAGGGTTTTCAGTTTGTCCAAGAACTTTATTATGTGAAGCATGTTTTCATTCAGCTAGGAAATGGTCTCATTTAAGTTTGTGTATAGCAGAAATAGTTCCTGATTTCAGTAACACTGACAGACCTATTCTGTGATTGAAGAATTAGAAAGGAAATAGAGAACAGTGAGGTCAGTGGGGTTTGCCTACTGAGGAAAAGTAGGCAAAGTAACTAAAGAAAAACTTTCTTTAGTTATCCTCTTAGCTGTGACTTCAGAATTTGTGCTTACAAAATATAGAATGGTTTTAAAGATGTCATCTAGGAAGACTTAGAGCTTGTATGCAAAAGAGCTCACTAAAAAACATCCTTAGCTGCCAACAGGAATCTCTTTAAGTGCAAGATCAAAGCCAGATGTAGGTGGGAAGTGGCAGTGATAATTTTGATGCTTGGTTTGGGGTTTGTTTCCCCTCCTCCTTCAAATTCTTGTTCAATTTAAAGGGATGGAAAGAAGATTATCTATATCAGGTTACCTCAGCGGTTTACCTATGGAGAAAATAATTATTAAAAGTTAGTATGAGAGTACATGAGAAAAATGTAGAGGTATATACATTATTCCTGACAAAGGACATGGACAATACCAAAGAACACCATACTGGGACACCATCCAAGTTTTATACCTGACCACTTGGTTTGAATCCATCAATTTAGATACATAAGGTATTCCAAGTATCTTCTAAAGTATTTGGAGTAATTTTGTCAATCAACCTGTTCCTGAACCATCATTCTGAATCTGTAAGAGGCTGTAGCTTACATCTTTACAAAGTGTGTTCTACGAAAGATTAAGTTATATTTGTGTTGCAAATGCCACAAATGTTGAAAATATTTTAGTGCATGCAACATTCTTGACTTTATTTCACTTACCAGTAATGACAGGCACAACATCTGCTCTAAAGATTTTGTCCTTCAGCTGTGAAAGGAGACTTATTTTCCAAGTGTTCCTCAGCCCTTCATTTGTCTGTTGTGTAAGCATTGTGGCTGTGGTCTCAAAAGATTTTATTCATAGTAATTATAATGTCAGTAGTAATAGGTAAGGTATAGAATTGATAGTTTAAGGTTTTGACACTCTTACTTAGACGTTAGTATTATTTATTAGTTAGATTAATGCATATTGGACTTGTTCACAGGGTATTTCCTGAAGCCTGAATCCCATGGAATCAAACCAGTGTTATATCTAGGTAACTGTCAAAGATTATCAGCCTGTGGTATAACATACCAGCTACAAATTACATAACTGCATTTGGTCTTCCTTGCATTGACTATTACAGGAAAGTTTTCAGTATCATTGTGAAAAGGTCTGGGTTCTTGGAAATCTTGGTAGTTTCTAAATAAAAAGGAATGGATTACAAA